TATTCCCATCGAAAAAAATCCAAAAATTAAACTTTATATTTCCTCGTAAATATGTAATATTTTACTTATATATCGAAATATAAAGATAATTTATATATTGTCATATATAAAACTCTGTAATAGTTTTGATTAAATTACTTACGTATATTAAAAATGATATGATAGCTTTATTCATATACATATATATATAGAAATAAAATTAACTTTATTCGTTCAGATCTTTTAACTTTTAAATAAGAGATAGAAAAAATATTAATTTTTAGTATTTTTCGCGATCTTCTATTACTTCATGTTCTATAAGTTTTATAAAATTTTACATATATGCGTGTATATATATATACACACACACATATATATGTATATTCGCGCGCACCACAAGTGTCTTATTTGCTACCAAATAATCGAAGATCCAGTTTGAGAATGACATCACCGCTATCGACTTCATGCAACTTGATTCTCTTTTGAATTGGTCCGCAAGAATCTTTACTGTCTCTCATTATGTCAGCCACTCTGATCTCGGCGCGGCCAAGAAATTCTGCGTTAACAACATTTCAAATTGCCGACATTAAAAAAGTTACGATTTAGTCGATTATTAATTTTTCTTAATAGCATTCGTATAAAATTATTCAATTTTCATGCTAACTACTATACATAAGGGCTTACCGTCAGGACTGTAGTATCCTTTATCAAACACAGTGATGCAAAGGGTATCCTCTAGTAGATCTTTTACTTGGAATTGCATCGAGGCATCCCACCAAGGGCAATCGCTTCCGGATACGACGCCGGTTCTTTCTTCTTGAGAGCCCATAGATACTTTGCAGAATGTATTGCACTTTCCTAGAAAAAAGAAACGCTTGCATATATGTGTATGAACATTCGATCATTGTGGATAAAACAGGACAGCAGTTCCGCGACATACAAAAATTTTTTTTTTTTCGCTTTAAGCGTTAGTAATTTTATGCTTTTGTGCATTATATGTAGCCTTCAAACCATTCCAAAGATAGCGCATTTATTCCTCTGCATCCGGATTCTTTAGCAAAATTGTTAAAGCTTGATTATTGTAAGATTGAAATATTCTTTGATAATTGTATATCTCACACAAAGATATTAAATATATATAATTTATTAAGATATATGATATGTTTTCTTTATATATATAACTAAAAAATAATTTTTTGTCATGCGTTCATGCTTTTGCAATTTCATTCGCCAAAGCTTTTAATTTTATTTTATTTAATTTATTGAGATGTATGATATTTTTCCTTTATACACATATAATTAAGATATAATTTTTTGTCATGCATTCATGCTTTTACAATTTCATTCGCCAAAACCTTTAATTTTATTTGATAAATTATGAAGACCACTGCTTGCCTTTTTAATTTGCATTCAAGTGTGGATAAAATAAAAGTACAACTATTTTAAAAAATCTTAGAAAAAAGATTATGCTAATGTAAAATAAAAGCATGAAAAAAATAATAAAATCAGTGTAATCTCGTTTGCAATACCAGCTTAATAAAAATTGATTTACAAATCCCCCAACTTCGTAATGAATTATACGAATATAGATATTCAGAATTGTTTCGAAATATAGGATCTCGATACTGTACCTTTTCTGCCAATGACAAGATTTTCAGCTTCCATAACTACTAGTCGCAGCCTACCTTTGGGAGGTCTCCTGCGAACTACAATTATGGCAGATTTCTGTTAGTGGTAAAGCGTTGCGTGCAAATTATATAACGTTGAAATTTGTATTAGTATTATTTGTATTTTTTCTGGCTTCATTTTTCACTAACACATGTTTCTCGTCCGATAAATACAACTACTTATGTATGTACACCGCTTCGATATAACTCCTTTGCATAACATTGCACAAGCAAGTAAGCAAGCAAACAAGCATTAAGCACGTACATTAATAATTTCAGTAAAAAAGCATAGAAATGCAAACATGCGACCTAAACCCTAAACCGCCATGCGGATCCTTACCGGATGGGGCTTTCAAGTTGAAGCCTTCGAGCACAGTGACGAGAATTCTGCCGCACGCCCCAAATTGCGCCTGCTCTGTTCATCAACATAAACTTATTATTGAAATCAAATTTATTATGTGACACGAGAGTAAATCTATGTGTAAGCTCGATGCCGAACAGTATACACGAAAATTGACGTATAAACACTATCTGCTTACAAACAATTGACAAAGCAATAGATAATTATAAACATAGGAAATATAGACTGCGTGCATATCAAACAAACGTTGCGCCAAAATTAGAAAAAAAACAGAATGTCTCAGAAATCTGGTTTCTCTTTCTCAAACATAACAATTTCTCTAGTTAAAAATCTTGGAAACAATTTTTCTTTAAAAAGAAATAAACATACTTCCAAGATATTACGTTCTTTTTCTAATTTTGGCGCACGAATTGCTAATAGATTTTAACATATAAGATATGCGCAGTCTATATACTTCCTACGTCTATGTAGATAACTTGTAAGAGAACAAATAAATAATGTTTCGATAATCTTAATACCCGGATTATTAAATGCGATAATTAAACTCACTTGATCGTTGTCTCTGCAGGCGATTTTTTTCGTTCTCTAAAAATGTCCTACGCGCTTCTACGATTCGTTTCGACCACAAGGAACATTCATTCGTAGATGATGCTAATAATATAATTGGCTTCTTTTGATCTTTCAGTCTTAGAATTTTCGAGGAATTGTCCGCCGCGTCGCTTCCGCTCAAGCTGCTGTTTCCATCGCTTTCTCCGAGCAAGGACAATTCATTGAGAAATATCGGCTGTAAAAAGAAGAATTACCGTTTTAATTAAAGACACCATAATTACATGAAAAGTTTCAATTTACACATTCTTTAATGATTTTCTCCAAAGTATTACATACCTTTCTATACATCTTAAATTTTTGATGTTCGTTGCGTTCGAATGAAAATTGTTGGCAATTCAAGGAGGATTTCATCGGTTGAACAAACAGGAGAAAATCATTAGTTAGGAAACCGACGAGTTCTTTGCCACTTTTTGCCTGTAACAAAATTGCGACATGGTATAAAACTATGTGAAAGAAATGCGACATAAAAATCTGCTAATATTGCATCTGTCATTCTTGTAAAATATTTGTTACCTTATGAAGTATACCATAATGCAAAAGTTTTCGCGGTCCCAAAGAATTTGTCAAGGAATTGAAAACAAGTTGCTCTTCAAGACCGTCACACATCACGTGAGTTTGCAGCCATTCCAATCTGTCGCTATTTTCTTTCTCTCTGACTCCTTCATTCACCTACAATAATGCACAATATTAAATGAAAAATAAATGTATCAGTAAATCATCTTATCTTCTTTCTTATATTCCTTTGCGTGCGCTATTTTTACCTGAATGCAAAACTCTTCGGATTTAGCCAACGCTTCTTGTAGGTATTGCCTATCGGGATGATCCATCGGCGTATACTCTAAAATCTATAATCATAGTCTGTTAGATATGCTATGATACATATGATATGCTACGATAATACATAAAAGCTACTTTATTTAGAGATAAAAGCGAGGATACCTTGCCAATGATAAGCGGATATTTCGTTATTCTTTGCATCGGTTTGATTAAAAATGAACTTAATGGCATCCCCTTTGTCCGCGGATCTTGCTGACACGTCTGCGCGACCCGAACGAATTCCGGCAAGGTTTCTGTCAAACATTGCAGATACATCGCGGCGGATATTTGGCAGCTGCAAAATCTTATGTAAGCTGACATCCTAGGTATCTGTGCGAAATAACATATACTGTATATAAACAGATTTCAATAACAGAAACAATCGTTTTTTTTCGCATTAAAATCGTAAATGCACACTTACATTCTCGCATAGTATATCGCCAATCATTCTAACTATTCCATTATAGCTATTATCCCTTCTTATTCTTAAAGTTCTGTAAGAAATATATTCGTGATCACATCTCGTCGATAGAAAATATATTTTGTTAGATATATTAATGATAAATTAGTTACCTCAAAAAGTTATCGTTACATGCAATAATATCTCTCCAATTAATAAATATCTTTTCTATTTCATCGACGCTCAGGACTAAACTTTCGATTAATGGTTTCTCAAACACCTAAAATGTGCACATTATATATACACACACGCACGTATATATATAAATATATATGCTATAACATTTTACAGATTCATCTTGAATTTCCCTTCATCTTTGATCATTGATTTTCTAATCAATTTAAAGTAACAACGTGCATACGTTTTCTTTCCCCTGACTTTTCAATATTTATACTTTGAATATGTCAAGTTTTTATTTAAAGCTTTGTTGAAGCTTTAAATAAACAATAAAAGGTTTCATTGCGCATATATGATTAATGACATTTGATTTTAAAAAGTTCGCATAATCGCTGATAAAAGAAACCTTTTTTTTTAACAGACAATATTTAAGAAAAAAAATGTACTCCAAAAAGTGATGTAAAAAATCTTTAGATGAAAGGAAGAAGAACCACACACACATGCCATGTTACACTAAATATACACGTGAATCAAAAACGTAAATAAAAAGTAAATTCAAAAAAGAAATTGAAAAATACCTCGTGTACTAGCCTCATGTCTTCTATGTAGGCGTGTTCAGTTATAATTAGCTCTTTGATATGTTCCTGGCGTTTTTTTTCCATAGGATTGTGACACATTGTAT